CCACATTTGCTTATGTACCCATTTGTCTTCAGCGATCGTATCATGGAGGTGAGCACACAATGATATGATTTTTTGTTCTTTGATGCCTGATAACTGATCCCTTTGGCTGAGGACATTGACACTTCTAACAGCTTTTCAGTAATTAACTTCTTGCTATTAACAAATGACAGAGCACTGATGGCACAGTGGGTTATGTACTGAGCTACTAACCACAAGGTCAGCAGTTTGAAGCCACCAGCCCCACCATGGGAGAAAGATGAAGCTTTCTATTCTTGTTAAGAGTTACAGACTCAGAAATCCACAGGGGCAGTTCTACCCTGTCCTTTAGATTCACTATGAGTCAGTATTAGCTCACTAGCAGTGAATTAGTTAGTTAGTTAGTTAGTTAGTTAGTTAGTTAGTTAGTTAGTTTGTTTGTATTGACAAATTTTCTTGGGGCATTCCGATTAGACGTACCCTGCCATAACAGGTATGTTAACTATGCCTTTTGTACATATGCCTTTTGGTTGCTTTGGGCTTACCTAGTTAAAAGTCAGGTTCAAGATAAACATATAGCATTTGTGATTAAGATAGTTTTAAATAACAGACACTCCCACTACATGCACACAACCACACACAAACACACGTATTATTAACCACTGATTTTATTGCAACTGAAGAAGGTATCAGAAAGGTGATTATTGGACTAGTTCTCCAAGAGCAAAGTTATAAAACAATCATTTTTTCTGAATGATAAACTAGTTTCAAATTATAAATTTAACTGAGTATAATCAAGTTATCTCTCTTCTGGGAGACTGGAAATTGGAAGATTGTTTAGGACTTGTCATTTACTTCATGCACGAATCACTCAGCTAAGACAGTCATGTACTATTTCAAATAAGTTACTAACCTCCGAAAATTACTTGAAGATCTTTGTGGTGAGGCATCGTCTATCACCAACAGCTATGCAGGTTATGGGAAGGACTAGGGACCAACTATCTCCAACTATGATGAGGTAAAGGAAAAGAGGGATGATTAATACATAAAGACGAACCCTAGAAACTCACTCCACCTTCCTCGTCACTCCTATCACCACCATCACCACACGCCTCGCTGGAGGAACAGACTATGGCCAGGCCCCACGCTACGAGGCACAGTATACATGTCACTCAATGATGGTGTTTGGATTCACACCACGAGGCTCTGCAGTGACACAATGGTTAATCCATAGAGATAGTACTAAATTCTACCACCCACTGCCATGGAGTTCATAGTGACCCTAAAGGGCATAGGGAGAGACTTGCTCCTGAGGGTTTCCTAAGGACTTGGAGGTGCCTCATTTTTCTTCAGTTGAGCAACTGATGCATTTGAACCACTAACCTTTCGGGTCAGCAGTCCAATGTGTAACGAATTCTGCCATCAGGGTTCTTTTCCTAAGCTACCTAACAAACCAATCTACACCCATTGTTATCTAAACCCATTCCAACTCCAAGCAAACGTGTCCGGGGCTGTAAAAATCGTCACCAGAGAACAAACACAACTATCTTGGAAGAAGTACAACCAGGATCCTCCTTAGAGGCAAGGATGGTGAGACTTGTCTCACATACCGTGGACATGTTGTCAGGAGAGACCAGTCTCTGACACAGGACATCATGCTGGGTAAAACAAAGGGGCAGTGGAAAAGAGAAAAACCCTCAACCAGATGGGTTGACACAGTGGTTGCAACATTGGGCTCAAACCTAAGATCAATGGTGAGGATGGAGCAGGACTTGGGGGGCGGGGGGTTCTTCTGTTGTACATAGACAGGGTCACTATGAGTCAGGACCACCTTGATGGTACCTAACAACAACAAGAAATCGTTATGGGAGCAGAGGAGCTCTTTCTCCTAAAGAGCAGGCTGGTTTGTTTGAACCTGTGGACCTTGCGGTTAATAATCCAACACTTAAAGTGACGGCACTCAAAAATAGATCAGCAGTCCCTGTCTCAAAAGTCTGCTGGCTTTGGGGGCCCTCAGTCAGGAGCTGGGAGCAGATAAAGAAATAGCTTTAAAAAGAAAGAGGGGTTGGATGGACATTCGCATCACAGTATAGAGGCCTTTGAGCTGAAGGTGAATTTAAAATGTATGCCCTTCTCATTTTATGATTTAAAGTCATAAACGAGAAGAGTAACCATTTGGACGAATATACTGTGCATTCACATAGATTCAGGAACACTGTGGCGTAGCTGTTAAAACGCTGGTCTGTCAAC